CCTGGCCTTTGAGGACTGGATTAAACAGCCGAAAAAAAGAGAGAAGAAGTTTGCCCCCCCCCACGATGTCTGATGCTTAGAAGAAGCTGTGCTCTGCCAGGGGTTTGTGATAGTCGGTCTCACGCCACTGAAAACAATGCAGTTTGGCCTTGAAGGACATTCTTTCTTTTTTCTCCTATGAGGTAAAGAAATACTCCCTCCGCCATGAGCGGTTATGCATTGACTGTTTTTTTGGGAAAGACTCCCACAGTTTGGAGCTGAAGAATGCTTCTCCTATAATGTTTGACAACAACTGTAATGAGTGCTTTGATCTGTTTTAGACTTTCATTCCTGCCCCCCTTTGTGTGTGGGAAAACATGGGGGCTGGAGAGGGATTGGGGACCCGGGAAGAGACGAATCCCCGGAAAGGATAACAGGTGTCTTAAAATGTCCATTTTTTAACTTTTTTCTCCTTGTAAACCTTTCCCCCATCTCTGGTTTTTTTGGTTTTTTTTTTTTTTTTTTTTTTTAGTATTCTTAGTAGTTTGTAGTAATAAATCTATTTTGCAACTCAAGTTATTCTGCCTGTCTGACTATTTCTTTGGAGCACATACATATCTTTCTCTCAATTACGTTATGTTATCTGAAAGCCATAAATTTTCGTGTTAATTGGGTTTTCGCTATCCCTCCTCCCTCTCCGGTGGGGAGGGAGGGAACATCGTTGGGTGCAGTGCTTTTTAATTTTCAGCACAGTCTAAACCACTACAGAGGTTAACCCAAATCACAGACCAAGAGAGCTCATGTTATTTATTCTAGAGAAGAGAAGGCTCTAAGGTGACCTTGTTGTGGTCCTTCAGCATCTAWAGGGGGCTACAAGAAAGTTGGAGGGGGATTTTTCTCAAGGAAATGTAGTGATAGGGCAAGGAGGAATGGCTTCAAACTGAAAAAGAGTAAGTTTGGATTAGATAGTGGRAAGAAATTCTTAAYTGTGAAGGTGGTGAAGCAYTGGATCRGGTTGCCCAGAGAATCTGTGGTTGCTCCTCCCTGGAAGTGTCCAAGACCAAGCKGGATGGGGGTGCGTACAACCTGATCCTTTTGAAGATGTCCCTGCACRTGGTAGGGGGATTGGAACAAGCTGATCTCGAAGGTCTCTTCCAACCMAAATCATTCTGTTTCTATGATCCTATGGCTTTATATTCCATGCCATATGACATCTTTGTCAGCAATGACCTAGAGGGAAGGTAACTGATGGGGGTGGGGGTCACTGTGTGATGACTTTCTGGCCATCGGTTGGCTGGTGGTGAACAATTCATTTGCATCTTTTGTTTCCCTAAATTTTTATTTCACCCTGTTATTTTCTTTTCATTACAAATTATTGTTACTATTTTTGATCTGGAGTCACAAATGATTTAGGAAAACAGAGACAATAAAGAGCAATAAAAGAAAAAAAATGCAATGTTGTGGCATTGTAGGGTTTTTAACCTTAACTCAATAGCAACGCCAGGCTCTTTGCTGGGTATATGCTCACACATGGAGAAATTGTTGCATTGCATCTTTTCATGTGCRCACACTAATAATTAGTGTTAGAGTCTGAAGAGAATTTTTATTTTGCACCCATGGTCCTGAGTACTGCCCAAAAGTGATCTGTGATTATGCCTCAGCTTGTCTTTTCAACTTCARCCTATCAGAAAAGAATCACTGTCTGGGAAAGGTGACAAAATTGAGACACCCTCAATATGCAGTCACAGTGGA